CAGGGCAGTGCTGGAGGGGATGAGCTGAAGGGACTGAGGGGCGGAGGGTTCTCTCTTCCTCCGCGGAGGCAGCAGCCTCTGAACGGCAGGCCCCGCCACCTCGCCCCAGATAAGCTTTCGGGGTGCACGAAGCAAGGCTGCGGAGCCGGCTCAGAAATAACGTGGCAGTCCCGGAACCCCAAGGCAACGTGGGCCCGGCACAATTCCGCGCGCCCCTCGTCGACCCCGCCGGCCTCCATGTCCATACCTTCTCTCTTCCTCCGCGGAGGCAGCAGCCTCTGAACGGCAGGCCCCGCCACCTCGCCCCAGATAAGCTTTCGGGGTGCACGAAGCAAGGCTGCGGAGCCGGCTCAGAAATAACGTGGCAGTCCCGGAACCCCAAGGCAACGTGGGCCCGGCACAATTCCGCGCGCCCCTCGTCGACCCCGCCGGCCTCCATGTCCATACCTCCGTTTGGAGTCGCCTCTTCCCGCAGAGTGGTGGGCCTGGACACGCCTGGGGTGTGCCACCTGCAACGCTCACTGCCGGCGTGCTCGCGGTCACTGCCCGCAGCCCGGCCACAGCCCTGTCCCGCCCCTCGCACCTCAGGGCCACCGAGGCCGCCCCGCAGCCACGAGGGAGCTCGGTCAGAGCCGCCTCAGAGCGAGCGGCCTTCAGGCTGCACCCGCAGGGCCTGTCGGGTAACGGCCGGCAGTTGCCCGCCCACTCTCCAGTGGGGCGCGCTTCTATTGGTCAACAGGAACACAGCAGCACTGTGATTGGCCAGGCATGAGGGCGCGAAAACGCGGGAGGAGGCTCCCGCACTGTGGCGGAAGAAGAGAGTTTGAGGCCACGCAGACATGGGTGGGCTCCGGGGGCAGCGGGCTGCCGGGGGTGACCAGCTGCCCGGGGTGAGGCGGCCTTGGGCGGATGGGTCGCGGGGACGCTCCTGCATCGCAACCTGGGACCCTCGGTGCAGCAGCGGTGACAGCTGGAAACCATGTTCTACTTTAGGCCTGGCACTTCTACCTTGCCCAGTATGTTAGAATTTTAAGAAATTTCTTTCCTATGCTGAACAAAAATGTGTTAAATGCTCACTCCACTGTTGGTTCCCTCGCTACCCTAACACCAGAGAAAGAGTCCAATCTTCTTTTCATGGCAGTCTTTCAAATGATTAAAGGCAGTGGTCATGGCCGTCCTTACAGAGGACTCTCAGAATTGGAGTAGAAGTAGGATGTTATGTCACGAGGGGACAGGGGCCAGACAGGCTGAGCACACACATCACATGTGTCACTAGGCTGCTGAGAAGGTAAGCTATGCTGAATGACCATGCCGTTGCCTAAAGGCAAGTGGCTCACCAGTGGCAAGAAAGCCTGTGGGGGCCACTGGCAGAGAGGCTGGTTGAATGCTGTTTGCATAAAGAATACTAAATGTTTAATTACTGCAGGTGAAAGAAACATTCCTACTCAGTGACTGTGTCTGCTAAGCTATGGGATCCAGCACCCTTGCTGTGCCTCCTCTTAGCCCCCTTGTTTTTCTAGCACGGCCTCCAGACATTCCTGTACCACGGCCTCCAGACAGTCCTGCTAGTACCCGGCTTTTCTTGGTCTGAGTTCCTCGTGTTTGTGTGCATAGCAATTGGTACTACCTTTTCTGCCAGGCAGCTCTACCCTGTCCAGACTTTTGTAATTGATTTGAGGCTTATATTGTTTTGATGTGAGGTTTTATATTTTAGTGAAATATATCTTTTTGTGATTATTTCAGCAGCAAATTTACCCCTTCCTCAGTTCAAAATAATCATAATCACACAGTAGTTCTTACTTGCATTTTATGACTTAATTTTTTAAAAGAATTTTTTAAATTTAATTTTATTTATTCATTCATTACATTTTTTTTTTTTTGGAGAGGTTTTTGCTACAGGGCACGTGCGCTCGCCAGACAGAGAGAGACATAGAGACAGAAAGTGAGAAATCACGCC